AAGTCTTCTTCTCATTCGGAGCCTCCTCGGCAGGGACTGAAGGAAATAGAACGCAACTAGCTGACAATGTTTGGTTGTGAATGGCAGCGTGTTATGACTTCTGCTCTAAGGCCGCATACAGCCACCTGTGTCCCATCATTCACTTCTCTCTCCAGTCTTGTGATGGCGGTTAAACAAAAGGCTTTTCCCTTGAAGAACTTTGTTTATCTTCACAGACATTTGTACTTAATTGTTCTGCCGTCCGTCCTGTTTACACTCTCACATTGCCTGTCAGAGATAAGATCTTTATTGACAATAGCACTGTTGAAATTACTTGTTTGAATTAATGCTCCTGAAGCCAGTGTTTGGCAGGATGTGGCTGCCCCTATTTCATAACTCTTTGCATTGGTTTGAAACATGATTTACCAATTGTTTGCAGTCACCTCATGTATACCTCTGTATATGTCTGGCCTGCGAGATTAAGTTCATGTACCGTAGGGTAAAAGGTGAACATTCTGAGACTTGTACTGATTGTGTAACACGGAGGAAGTTTGGCAAGATTAGCAATTAAAGTCTATGCTTCTCGACTGTAAATTAAAACCTAAATGACCCTAGGCACAATCTCATACAGTGCCCAAAAGGAACATTTAATATCCAGATCTCTGATTGCCTCATTTTAGTAGGCAAGGCCACCGACCTCTGCATCAATCTTTCTGATTGGCTTAATGACGATGGTTTTGACCTCATTATCCTTGCCCCTCTGACCGTCTCTCTCCCCTCTCTCATTTATCTCCCCTTTCTCCTTCCCTTCTTTCTCCCAGTGTAGGACCCGTACTTCAGGCTGATACTAGTCTTTTGTTAAAAGTCGGATATTGCGCTGTCGTGTCATCACTGTACGGTACGATGGAGGTTTACACTGTGGATAACTAACAGTAATTCGGTCATTCTGGATGTGTGATGGGATATTCTATAATAATTACTTTGATATTTGATGTTTAATTTTTAATAATAGGAGTTCATGAAGCGTTTTGCTTTAGGGATGTCCCTGCAATAAAATCAGCCTTAATTTCATTATGTTGGTCGTCAGTGGAGAACTTTAACAGCCTATGGTGAAATAGCTGTTGTTTTCAGGAGCTTTACACACTGACTAGGAGTACTGGGGGCAACACTTGTATTGTTTTGCCTTCAAGCATACTGACTGTTAACATACTGTTAAATCAAACAGTATCACTTTGGCAGTGTTAGTATTGGCTTCCAATGCCATATCAGTTTCATCTAATCCTTCCTTTTTCTCCCCTCGGAGAGAAAACACTGCATATTTTCTCTGGCAATGTTTAAATATCACTCTCAAGGTTGTCGCTGAGAGGCTGTTTGGGAGTTGTTGTCTTACCCCCCCCCCTCTCTTTCTCTCGCTCTCTCACTCTACAGTGAAGAATATCAAAGCACTGCTTATGACATCCCTTCAATTACAGTAATACCCAGAGAGTCCTTCAACAGCTATAATGTGAGAAACATTCTACTCGATACAGTGACCAAGACAACCTGACACCATCTCTCACATTGTGTATACACACTTTCTTGAACACACACTTTCTTAAACTTTTACTTGTTCAATTGAAGTACTGTCAGTTATTTGTACCCACAGCTTCCTTTCACACTTTACCTCTTAACCCGGAATTTCTATATAGCTTCTGTCAATGTTTGTTTGGGTTCTGTCCATTTGTAAGGTCAATAGTTCATTTGACCTTCTCTCTCACTCTCTCTCTCCGGATCTCTGGATTAAGGTGTTGCTATACACCTTAATCCAGACATCAGATTTTAGCTATAGCTAAAATGTATGTTTGTTTTAGCTTGTAAATATTTAAATTGTTTGTTTGATCATCTCTCTCCCTTGTCGATTTTTTATTTATACTTTAAATATACAATGTCCCTGCAGTGAGTTTGTGATTATTTGGCTTAATAATGAATACTGATTGTGGCCAATAGGGTCAATTAAAATGATTCAGACATACACCGATCAGCCATAACATTATGACCACTGACAGATGAAGTGCTCTTCAAAACTGCAGCTCTTGTGGGGTGTTCCCGGCCTGCAGTTGTCAGTACCTATCAAAAGTGGTCCAAGGAAGGAAAAGCGGTAAACCGTGGACAGGGTCATACTAGTTAGTCACTAACTCAGTCTGTCTGCTATAAGGAGTTGGGCAGCTGGTGTACAATTACCTTTTTTATCAGACCTTTTTATAATCAAAACAGCTTCCCACTGCAGCTGGAAACAAGGTTGATGAGACTGGCGAGACTGAATCCAAACAGTAGAATTGTGGAGTATGAAACCGAAACGTTGAGCTGAAAGATGCTTAAACACTCCAAAAAGCTGAGGGGAACTGCAGAGTCAGACGATAATTCTTGGGTTCATCACTACAAGCAACACATTTCACCTAACACATGGCACATACGTTGTCATTTTAAGACAAGATAACATAATCCTCTATTAATCCCACAAGGGGTAAATGTGCAGTGTTACAGTAGCAAAAGAGGATAGCGCAATAGCAAGAAGCATCAATAAAAAAAGAAATAAATAAGTGAACAGCAATATGAAGTAAATAAGTAAACAAGCAAAATGTAATAAATAAGTAAACAGACTCAACAGTTGAATTCACATTATTGCACATAGGAAATATTGATATTGCACGGTTTAGTATACATTGATATTGCACGAGTGAATTTGTCAGTTTTGGTGAGTGTGGTCTCCTGAAAGCAGCGCTGTTTTTAAAGTCTGACATCAGGAGGAAGGAAGGACCTGTGGTATCTTCAAACGCGGGTGAGGCAGCTACACAGTCCTGCATGGGGTGGGACAAGCTTTCCATCAGGGATGATAGTTTAGCCCTCATCCTCCTTACTCCCTGGTAGAGAGTGCTTGCGGAAGTCTACCACAGGCTCTTTGGTTTTACCTGCATTGATCTGGAGACTGGAGGTCTGGAGGTTCCACTGGCACCAATTTACTCCCTGTTCCCTGTCCTCCCCTGTGATAAGGCCGACAATTGCGGAGTTGTCAGAGAAATTTAGCAGGCGGAAGTTGAGCTGAGTTGTGTGTGAGGTCTGCAGTGTAGAGGGTGAAGAGGAAGGGAACCAAGACTTTTTTTTTTCTTTTCTCGAGTTTCATGGCCACTGTAGTTTCTTGGGAGACGAAAGGATATTTAATTAGTTGTAATCTGCAACTTCACCACTAGATGCCACTAAACAAACTGGTCCTTTAAGTCTTCAGATCCTGGTGCAGCCAGTCGTTTTCATTAAGATTTTAGTTTTCTCAATTCATATTTGCGACTGACATCAGAGAACGATTAATAGTGGCAAATAAATAGCTTTACTTAGCGGAAGTTGGCTTTGTTTTACAAAGCTCACATCGTATTCCCTCTGTAGGCTTTATGGTCGGTGTTGCCCACATCTCCCCATCCAGGATCCTTTTTTTCAGTGCAAATTGCACTGCAGCTAGTTTACAGCCAGTGAGGTAACACTCCTGAGAGGCTTCCAACGTTGGCAAACAAACACTTCAGCTACTTAGCTGATATTTCTTTTCCAGCAGTGTTGTTCTATCAAAGCCTATCTAAATTCAACACACGGAGTAGCAACAATTAAGAAATATTGAGATGAGATCCACCTTGCCTCAAGGTCTGAGGAGGTTATGATCATGAGAAAGTATGTGTGAGAGTAGAGCAAATCCATTCAACCTATTCTCCTTAATCAGTGATGCCAAGTAGAGAATCAAGGCCACAGGAAACAGGTACACATACAGTACAGTTAGCTTGTTCCTATGATGCTGATGAAGGTGAATTCTGACACTCAGAAAACCGGTTTCGCTCTGTTGTCATAATATCTTCCCATTAGGGATAGATGACTCACAGTTAACACACCGCTGTGGCATTATTACAGACATAGAGTAGCATCTGGTACAACAGAGATAAAACTTCACCAACAGCATACTGCATAGTAATCATATGGTTAATGTGCTATTAATTTTTTACTGAAGCAGCACACCACCACCCACTGGAAATTATTTGTTGCTAGTAACATTTGCTGTTGTCATGAAGAAAGCTTATCATTCCAGTTTTAGTGATTTCCAAACTTTAGTTAAAGAATAAATTGGTCCTCTTTGGGTTGAAAAAAAAAGGACCCTTAGGCCATGAGACTGTTCAGATCTTTTGAATTCAAAAATACACATCAGAGAGAAACTAAAAATAAACTTAAAACTCAGGTTTATGTGCAAAAGTCATTAAATATCTGATCCTTCACCTTAAGCATACCTTCCCATGCATCACTGGCCACCACACTAACAACGTGGCTGCTCCATTTTAAAGTTACAGGATTTTTTTCACCACACAGTTAGAAGGAAAAAATTACACAGAATCTGCAACCAGCCTCCCAAAGTTTCAAATGACGAAGACTGAACTCTTGTCCCCACCAAACTCTTCTCATCCTCAAAACTTGTCTCCCCTCTCTCCCTCTGACGCAGCACTTCAAACAGCTTTGCACAGCGTGTTATGCTGCATAGCAAAGAGTGACTGTGTCCCTTCCCGTGTTGAAAAGGCGCCTGGGTGTTAGAGAGCTTGTCAGTAGAAATCTGTCAAAAGTACTCAGCAGAGTTACTGGGGCCTGAGGAGTACAATACCACCAGACAAAGAGGGTTTACCCCGTGAACCCAGACCCTTCACATATAAATTAACTTTGCAGATCAGAAACCCAACGCCCTGGTTGACACCCTAACCGCAATCCCCATTGTTTGGCCTTTGCAGTGTACACAATACACTTCTGCTTGCGCTACTCTATTTTCTGGTTCAGGGATAAGCCTGAGGGGTTGGGTTTATGAGCTCTCCATGCTGTCTGTCCCTCCTCATTTACCTAATCACGTCACCTTTCATTTCTTTAGATAAGCAAATAGGCCTCCAGTCTGCTTCTTCGCTATTGGTTATATCCAGGCCTGTCTTCAAAAGGAGGGGAGGTGCTTGAAACTGACTCAACCGGACTTCTTCAAAACTTTCCCTGCTTGCGAGTGTAACTGTTCCAAATCTGTAACTCACAGCTGATGAGCGTCAAGGGAATGTAAGGAGCTCTGATGACATTAAAAAAGCATGTGAGCTCACCTTGGATTACATTTGTGGTCAACTCTGAATGGGAATACTCCGCAGACAGCCTCTGATGGAATACGAACATCGTTAAGGTAAAATCTTAATTTCAGGCAATGTTTGCTACTGTAAATGTGTTTAAAAGTATGCTGTGATTTGAGATATTTGTTTATTATTAGAAAGTCTAGCCTGAACATGAAGACATGTAAAATACCACTTGCTCAACTTTTGGAATATCTTAAGCAGAATGAATTCTTTAAAGAAGTTAAAAGACCAGCATGCACAGTGCAATGGTTTGCCCTGCGATGAAATACAGCATTGGGGACTCCTGCTGTTCCACCTGCATGTAGATGAAAGAATGTCAACATAACATTTCCTTCAGAAACACAGACAAAGGAGCAGATGGGTAGCAGGAAAAAAATATTGGCTTGTTTTAGAGAACAAAACGTTCAATCACAGAGAGAGAGAGAGAGAGAGGCTCGACTCCTTTTGCAAACTCTGCTCCAGTTCTTCCAGGTTTTTAGGCTAAACACAGAAGAATGTGCTCCCAAATCCTTTGAGCAATTTTTTTTAATCGGCTCTTCTGGGTCGGTACAGGTAGGGAGAGAGAGGAAAGGTTCAGCCAAGAAAACACAGGATACTGTTGCATTCTTTCAGCTCGGAAAAGTTTGTTAACAGCTACAACACCCTGTCTCTCTCGCACAACACACACAAACACACAAAAAATAGGGTCTTTCCTGTTTGAAATCTATCCAGAAATGGGATAGTCTGAGATTTGAAATGCTCCACTTCTCAGCAGCCAAACACTCTGTTCCCCCCACACAATCATGTGCTTCCAGAAGATTATGTTTAGGGCCTCTAAACCTCAAATCCTTGTGTTGCTGAGGCAGTTTCAAACTGTTGGTATGCCCATTTCAATGTATAGGAATCTGTGCTTGAATGCACTTTAGTTGTCAAAGACATTCAGGAAATCAGATTTTAATCATAAGCACCTCACTTGTTTACTCTAGCTTTTGCGGGAATAAACATTCTGGACTGAGGGAACGGAAGTGAAATCTGTTCAATACTCAGCAGCGGTTGTGGAGATATCTTTATTTCAAAACAGTATACACAACCGATCTGACAAATTGTGTGTGCGCTTGTTTCTCATAGTTTCATTTAACGTGTTTATCAAGGTCATTTTTCCTATATTCGTCATTATGTAAAATGTGAGACAACCTTCTTCTTCCTGTTTTTGCTGAGTATGTCATTGCACACAAACAACCCACTCAGTTCTCATGGGAAAAGGAACTCGAGTCAATTTGACTGATGTCGCAGATAAACTCTGCTTGTTTGTCTCATGTTGTTTCTCATACGGTTAAAAATATATCTCAGTGTTCAGCACAGTGCAGATATGGCCCATCAGTTATGCTCATATCAGGATGGATGAACTTATAATGATGTAAACAAACACTGATCAGGCTTTAATTCACAGTGGACACACCAGAGCGCACAGTTCTATGTTTTAGAACGATTGCTTGAACTACAGGAGATGTGTTTCGTAAAGGAATTGTGTCCTCAAGGTAGACAGGGTGTTAAGTGAATGTCCCCGTCCTTAAGAGTGAGGTACAACACGTGGCTTTAAATGCAATATAAAACCAATCTTGTGCCCTGGAGTTTATATACTGCTAACTTTATACATAGTAAAATGTTCACTGATGTAGTTTATTTGTTTTCCTATAATATCCATTCTTGCACTACAACATGCACTTGTAGGAATTAAAACTTGGGCTGACCCCTAATAGTCGACTTAATCGTTAGTCGCTGTGAAAAGTCTTAGTCGACCCACTTTTCACTAGATGGATAAAAAAACAATGTCAAACTCTGTTCGAGAGCTGGGCTTTGTCACCTGTCTAGGCCTGTCTCAGTAATTACTGACTTATCATACCATATATACGATATGTGATTATCGCCAGTGATAATATCAACATATCGTTTAAGAATGTCACTAACATTTTAGCCAACATTATGCCAGAATAAACCGCAGGGTTTTCCATATATATATATATATATCCTGCCCCTGTGCCAATTGTTTCATTTTTATTTATGAGCATTGCTGTTAACAGAGCCCGAGGGTCTGTTTTATTTATTGTTTTGGCTGTGTGGTTTTATTTCGGTTTAATTTTACAAGGATATTGTTTTACATTCCAATTCAAATCTCTAAATATTCTTCTATTGCTCTTTGAATAAGTGTACTTGCATTGTTATGCTTGTTATATCAGTGGCATAAAATGGTCTGCAAATGACAGTAATATATTTATTTCTGGAACAATATATTCCAACAAAAGTAATCCCCCCCTTCCTCTACTTTATGCATTCAGTTTAGCATAAGTTTATATATTCTTTTTTATCCTCTATTTTAATGTCAATATTTTCTGGCCTTCTTGCTTTATTCTCATTGTCGTTATCTTCTGCAACAATCCAGCTCGCCAACAGGAGTCATTGCAGTTTCATGCTATTTATTTTTCAGCGTCCTCCCATCAGCATTGACAAGAACTTTACACACAATAGTAACTTTGTGTCGTGAGGAGCCAGCTTTGGTGAGGGCTCTTCCACAATGAGAGACCGCTTGGAGGAGCTGCAGCAGAGGGCTCAAGACTTTTCTGAGGCAGCAAGTGAGAATACCAACCCTTTCTCAGCTGAGGGTGATAATGATGACACTATAGTGGCCGGGGTCATAACGCCACAGGCTGTGGTGTTCGAGGAGGAGCCCATCATTGAGAATTTCCTGTCTGAGGCTCAGCAAATCCGAGATGATATCACAGTGCTGGACACGGAGGTATATTTTTCTTTGTTTGTATTTAGTAGTGCCTTTATTTTTCTTCTTGCATTGCATTTACTGTATATCTATTAACCTATGTTGCATTGGTTTTCTGTTTCTAATTTTTATTTCTTATTAATTCTTCTTCTAGTTCACAACCTTTTTTTTCTATCATTTCTATTATTAATTATTATGAACTCAAAACTCGACTGAAAGAAGAGAAGATTTAGATTGTATGATCGTGCAGTTTCTGGTTACATTTTCCATTCGTGGTCAGAAGTGATACTGAACACAAATTTTGTCTAATCTCAACTATAACAGGTCCTTAAATTTGGCCAGCAGCAAAAGACCCTGGTGGCAACAATGCGTCGTTTCAGTGTGATGAAGAAAGAGAGCAGTATAACCCGGGACATCAAGCTCCGGGCTGAAAGCATCCACAGACGCTTAGATGCGCTTTCAAAACAGGTCCAAAGGACTGAGGACCAGCAGGGACCTACTGCTGTTACAACAAGAATACAACGCTCCCAGCATGCAGCACTGTACCGAAAATTCCAGCAGGTTGGGAAGATGATCCTCCCACTTTGCTCCGGACACTTAACACTTTTTTTTCTGACTGGGAAAGATCCTTTAGTGCATTGGGAGTTATTACATTAATATATGGTTTGAAAGATTAGAAATATGCTACCTTTAGTCTCACAATACAAATTATGTATTTTAACTGGAAAACAAGTGTTGTGGAGCATATTTATCACTGTCACAGTAACATATTAACAGATTAAAATTCATACATAAACTGTAAAATGTATTTTGTGAAATTATTGCAGTGCGACAGGGTGTTAGTACATTTGATTACTTAATTTCCTTATGTCTGTCTTCCTATGCTAAAGTTTACAGTAAACACATTGTGTGACACAATATCTTGAGTTGTACTGGCAAGAGTGTCAAAGAACCAAACGTAAATTACGCTCAAGCCAAAAAAAAGTTGGGACAGAAATATCTTCTCATTTTTCATTTCCTCTCCCCCTCATACTTTTTATTCTCTCTTTTTGCTGTAATTATGTCCAGGTAATGCTGCAGTATAATGAAGGTCTGCTGACCAAGCAGGAGCGCTGTAAGCACTTCATTATCCGGCAGCTGGAGGTATCGGGAAGGGATGTGACAGAGGAGAAGGTGAATGAGATGGTGGCCACAGGAAAATGGGAGGTCTTCAATGAGAACCTGCTGAATGATGTCAGAATCACACGGTCACAACTATCTGAGATTGAACAGCGACACAAGGTGAGCCTATGACAAAGTTATCACATGATAATATGGTAATCATTTGCTAATGCAATTTGTTATGTCACAAAGCTATTAGCTAGAGGTAATAATTGTTTTGTCTGTTGTGCATATTGTGGTTTCGACCATACATTTTCTGGGAATTTTGTCTTGATTTTTACATTTTAATATGAAAGTTAGTGCCTTTTTTCCAACAGCAGCATTACAGTGGTAGCCATAGCTGGGAGCTTGTGGTCTGAAAAGTCCAATATATATCTGGGAGCTAAATAATATTGAAAATCAAATAAATGTTGATAAATCAAAAAACCTTAAGTGACACATCTCAGCTAAAATGTCCCATTCATTAATGCTTATCTGGTAAATGCACGTTTTTTTAAAATCATACAAATGTGGCTAATTGCTAATAACTATTAATTCAGTGGTTAAATTGCACTCATTACGCTGGCAGTCATCATCTTGAGTCGTTAGCATGAATGCTTGCAAGTCATAAGCATGACAATGTTGCCCATCACTACCATCTATCCTACACGTCTCCCACATTACTATAATTGACACAAATGGGTAAAGAAAAGGAAATAAATTGAAGTGGAAATTAGAAATTAGGAATCCGTCAGAAAACATCAAATGAAATGAAGATATCTAATTGAACTAACACATCCAAATGTAAAAAGAGCCAATTTATTGTCAGCACTGGGTTCATGTTGTATAAAAAGAGCTGGGTCTGTTCCCTCACTTCATCGTAAAGGCTTATTGAACACATCCAGACCAACGTAGAGAGGACACAGGATTATGTGGCTGCCTCTAATGAGAAGTTCAAGTTGGCCGCCAGATACAAGAGGAAAAACCCACTTCGACAGCTGTGCTGCTGCTGCTGCCCTCCCTGGAGATGCTGCTTATAAAACATATGCATTATACCTCAATGGTCATTCCAAATAAGGTTTTTATTTCAAAAGTCTTACTTACCTGTTTGGGGACAAGCAATGTTGGATTCAAGTACCATTAAAGTGAAGGTTATGGTACTGTGGTTTTTGCTGTTGAACAGAACGACGGTGAAGACAGATTCAGCAGAGCATAGAAAACAATTAGGGGGAAAGGCCAGAATTGGTATTTGAGGCACTTGTTTCTTTCAAGTGGATGTGAGGCGACTGCTATTGGAAGAGACAGTTCAGTGAGTGCTACTCACCAACACTGCTGCTTATTGGAGACCTTCACTGTCATCTGACAGAGGTCACAAACAAGGGGAGACCACTGCCTTTGCCACTGCCACTGCCAGATCAGCAAGACTGATATTTCACCATTTTTTTATTTTATTTTATTTTTTTCAAAAGAGCCTCTCATATTCTTTCTGCCTCAGGAGCTCTAGTTAATGACCATTTATTTTTTATACAGTATGTGCACTTTAAGACTTCTCCATCTTTTTTCTCTCTATTCTTTTCAGCACAAACGTATGTTAGAACTTAACATAGTGGAGAAAGATTTTCAGCCATTATGTATTCATTTCATTTTTGGTCCGCATGCTGATGAAAAAAAAAAACTTGTTTTACAATTAGTCATTAGTCTCATTTGCATTTCAAAGTATGATCCTTTTCGGTGAAAAAAATATTATTGCTTCATTCGGTTTCACAGAGACAAGGATTCAAGTAAAACTTTGAATAACGAGTCATGATCAAACTATTTTTTGTCACGGTGACAGCTGCAGAAAATCATTGAAGTTATTTGTTTAAAAGTCAAAAAGAAAGAACATTTTATGTCCTACATTTCAGGAAATATTTAAAGAATTAATTTATATTTTGGAGTGGAAATTCAATGTATTGAAACTGTTACATTTCAGATGAAAAGCTCTGGCATTCACGTGTATCATTATTATTAAAATACCTGTCACATAAAAAGGGAGCAGTGGCTCTAAATCTGGCGAAAAGCTCTCGTCTGAGGGAGTACCAGCACTATGGAATAAAATACGTTGTATGGCAATATGTTGTATTACTGATCAACATACTTACACCAGTTGACAGGTAATCATCTCCCGTTTCACCTTGTACTTAATGTCGAGTCGAAAATACCAGCTCATTTTCCCTGCTGGGATAATGACTAAGATGTAGGCTAATAAGTCAGTAATTCATCTGAGGAGATACAGTCACCCGCTTATTGGCAGAAAGGCTCTATACTAGCTTCTCATCAGTACTCACAGTGATGGTCTTTAGTGACTCAGTGACCCATGGTGTCTGGTGTCCGGGACAAAATACAGGTGAACTGGGCGTGCCAGAGCCAGACTGGAAAATCTGGTTTGTCTGCCGTTCCAGGGTAGCTCCCAGACAGCTACTGTGTGTACAGTGTGTAAACAGAACCGTTACCTTATCGCATATGGTAAGAAGACCCACCATGGTTAAATAGTCTTCTTTTTCAATAAAATGACTGCCAGGCCCACAAAAAATGTAAAACATATTGAGCATTTTAACTTCAGCTTGACAGACAACCATAAGAATGCCCCAAAATGCCGTTTTTGTAAGTCAGTTTAGTCGCCTCTCCAGGGATTGATAAGTCATAGGATCCTAAAGAAACACACCTGTCAATGCGGTGCTTTACTTAGGTTAACTATCATATACACTGTTCCCTCAGGTCTCGTAGAGGAACGAGGTGTGATGTGAGAGGTGATGAGTTGCGCTATCTGACTGGAAAAGTCTTTCCCTGAATCTGTGTTATAAATCAGTCTCACTCTGATTAGAATTATATTTTGAAACAAAGACATAAATATATCAAATATGTAAATTTGAATATGTAAATCAAATAGCAATATACTGTAATTCAGCACAGCATAGTTTCTGCCTCCTCCCAGACACAGTGAAGAAAAATGAAGTGCCGCTGCAAATTGCAGGGTTCTTGAACAGCAACAATGCCATCCAGTGTTCAGTGAGATAATTGCCAGTTAAGCAATAGGTTATCACTTGATGTTTAAACCGTTAAAGGCCATATTACCACATAAATATGTAATTATGGAAGTGTCATACTTGGAAAACATAACTACACAGTGTGGATTTCACTCCCAAAAGTTCTTAGAATGAAAATAGAGATATTGTTGTTGAGCCATTAACAGCTCATGGAGGTCTTTACTCAAAGCAAAAAGAAAGAAAAGAAGAATACATTTTTATTTTGATCTGTTACACAGTACACACTGTTTACTGCTCCATAGACAATGAAAATATATTTTTCTCCTCCACAAAAGTGAGACAATCTCTCTCTCTCTCTCTCTCTCTCTCTCTCTCTCTCTCTCTCTCTCTCTCTCTCTCTTTCTCTCTCTCTTCTCTCTCTCTCTCTCTCTCTCTCTCTCTCTCTCTCTCTCTCTCTCTCTCTCTCTCTCTCTCTCTCTCTCTCTCTCTCTCTCTCTCTCTCTCTCTCTCTCTCTCATAAATGAATATAGAGCGAGGTCTGACATGCAGCATATTCATAGCCACCATCACAAAGACACCTGGGAATAAATGGACATGGGAAAGCTATAAGATTAAATTAAGTTGAATTTCTCCAAATACACTAACAGCAGAGCAGCAGGGATCTATGAGAGTGTGCAGTCCTGAAAGAAACCTTCTGGGGTTTATATTGGTCGTCCTTGAGAACACCAGGCCATGGGAGACTGCACAGTGGTCAGCTCAGATACCTCTGGACATCTGACCCCCAGGCACGTCAGCCAGAGTCACCCCGAGCAGGTCAGCCAGAGTCACTGGCAATTTTCCCAAAACTCTCTCTCTCTCAGTGTAAGGCAGAGTAAGTGGACTGCTCTTTTCCCAGCAGCACCCTGCTTCACATTCAAACAGTTACACACTCTGGGAGCTGCCCTGTACAACAACAGCTTTCTAATGTTTATAGGTTCCGCTGTGGATTCATCTTGTTTACCCCCAGCTCCGAAGTTGTTATCCAGTATTTCATCTGAAACCACCTAGCCGGGAGCTATCAGGAGTATGTTCCTGTTCCTCGCTGAATCAGATTTAACCTTCGACTCTGAGACCATCTTTGTGTTTTGACTAGCTGCACTAACCAACTCTGCACATACAGAACACCTGTTCCAAGATGCGATGACCTGAAGGCAACAAGGCATTCTAATTTACTTTGCACTGAAACTTGGCCATATTTCTTACAGGTTTTGGATGATATTTTGTTTTTTCTCACCTTGGCCAACTTTATGCCTTCTTTCTTGACTTCTGAATTATATTAATGTGGTATTTCATGTATTTCTGAATTTCTGAAACACATATCATTAATCACTCATCATTGTGTGGTTGTGTACTGAACTTCTGAAAAGGGTAAATGAATGTAACAGGCTCTGGATTTGTAGATTTGTAGAGCATAACAGACAATGTTACCTTTATTTCCATCCATCTATCTTAATATAAAAGCTGCTCATATCAATACAGTCGTGCTGATGCAGGTTAGGTAATAAGGGAAGATTACTGTAATGCAGTGTTGAATTACGGCTTTTTATTAGGTAAGTAACTCATGCAATTTTCATTTTTGTACATGTACTTACAGCAACCACATATTCATAGTGAGTGCCTCTGCCCACTTTCCAGACGAAGCCCATCAATCATCTCTGATTTAACGATAATGTGAATATCTGAGACACGTGAGAGTTTATCACGCTGATCATGGCTGACAGAAGAAATACCTCCAGTACGTAGTCACACACAGACGTCACTGTATCTCTATCTGCCCTGTCAGTCACAACCTAGATCCCAAAGTCTCTCTCCAAATGTCTGAACAACATCAAAGCAGCCCTCCTGTGAGTAACACCAGCTGTGGTTATAGAGAGCTGACATTACTTTACTGCCTGTTTTTATCACTCCCATCAAAATCTGAACAGAGAGATATCAGGACCCTCAGAAAGTGATAAATCAAAGAAATAGTACAGTGAGTCTGGCAACGGCAGTAGTAGGAAGAATACCGACAATAATCCAATGGTTACACTGATTTAGTAACTTGCTACACTTGACCAGGTGATTTTAAACAAACCACCTCCATACAGCAGGTACAGTGCTGCTGGAGCACACCGGAACAACACAACAGCACAACGTTTTTTCACCAAGTGAGAAAAATACAGTATTTGCAGTTGCCATAATCGAGGTGAAATTCAGAACCAATAAAATGGTCGAAGTTGACATTTAAGTTATTCATTCATGACGTCAACTCGTGCTTTGAGTGACAGGCAAGAAGAGTGGCCAGTAGTCTGTAACTAGCCAACATCAACTAGTATAGAGGAAAAGGCACTAAAACATCTTTTCATTCATCATTCACTCTTCTGACAGTTTATTTGTGATGCATTTGCAAAGAAACATTACAAAACTAGACAGTTAAACAATACGCCTCGCCTATTAGATGATCTTTATTTGTCTGCACTACAATTTTACCTCAATGGATGTTCTGAATGCAGCATCATTTGCTTGGCACGAGTAAATTAAATCATTCAAAAGACAAACTGCTTGTGTTCATTCATCTATACTGCTAAATGCTATGCTAATTACAGCCTACGACATCCACGGCATCGTCTAATACATACTACATAGTGAGTCTGCCGAAACTATTAAAAAATTCAGTTGTCAGTTATAGTTGTCTCTGTAGGAACAGTGATTACATAACCTTGGTGCACAACTCAAACCAATAGTACTAGATCCCTACCAACCTGTAGGTCTAGCATTGTCACAGTGAGGCTCAAACTGTGGTAATCAAAGACATTGGACATATGAGGCATCCTGGTGGCCTTGTAGATGTAATATCTTGCTTTTCTTTCCATCTTTTCTATAGTTAAACTGTCAAACAATGTCAATGGCACAACAATGCCAGAAAATCCACCTTAACAAAAGAAATTAGACTAAGATCGTTTTTCCCAATATAAGTAACAATTAAGTATTGGTTCAAATTATACAGATATGAAAAAGCAGTAAACATGTATTTATTGGTCAAGTACCAGCATGTTTACACATACAAAGAGTTTGATTCTGGTTTACAGTGGCTCTTAATGTATTTACATACAGTTCAAAGAGCAAGTTCCAAACAAGGATACAAACTAAAAAACAAAAACAAGAAATGACCGTACATAAGGAGTACAGAACTTGATACTCATACACATATATAAAAATAATTCAACCTCTATATAGAGGTTTCTGTTCTATCAACCAACAGTGCAAGGGTGTGTAAGAGTGCAAGGAGTTCTGCAATAAATATTTAATGAGAATTGTGACAAGTTACCATATACAGTAGCCGGTATATGCATGTATACACACTATATACAGTATACACAGCCATCTTAAGATTTTTGGCAATGATGGATGTTGTGTACGCATTATTGCACATCTGTATATTAAACTGTAATATATATCATTTGAAGGTACAGTGGAGGTTTCAGTGTAAGTGTAAGCCCCACCTCCACACTTTCTCTGGCTTTCTGTATTCTGCAGACCTTTTAGAAAGTAATGTTAATCAATGTTATTGCCAAGGATATTTAAGTAAAAGACAGAAAAAAAGCTTAGATTATGGCCACGGGAATGTAATAAAAGCAGTTAGACCTTGACCTTAATGCTCCTTGTAACTTTTCCCCTTCTCTGACTGTGTTACTCATTTCAATAAACTCTTGACAACAACCTGCTCGAAACTGTATTAGCCCTGGTTTTGTAAACCAGCTAATGACAAAAGTTGACTGTTATTTATTACCTATCGAAGGACGAATGTTCAAACTTAAATATTCTGTCAGGGTGATATATGAGCTTCAGTAATACGAACTCTGGGAAGATTGGTGCATGATAGTCGCGTGTAAGCCATCTGTGTAGATCCCATGCAGATAGAGTGAATGGTAATAGACGTGTGTTGCTGCTACACTGACTTAAAAGATATTTTCATCTTCTCTGACAGGTGGGCGGATGAATGAACACTGGCTTTAATGCTCAGCACATGTGAAACTGGTGTAAAACAAAAGGGGCTCCCCGTATTTTAAGTTTTGTATGTGTGTGTCAGCTCACTGTCACACATTATCACCGTTATGACCACTGTTTTATGCAGAACAGTAGTACTGCACAGTACAGCCAGACTGCAACACTGGCTTTGTATCAGTTCATCAAAAATAAATAATATATATATATATATATATATATATATATATATATATAAAATGAATAATATTTACATTTTGATCTAGGCAATTTAGCAGGGTTTATTTCCTATTCAGGTTGATCTTTGTTTATTTTCACCTTCTTTAGAGACACTCAGCACACTTAGATTCTCCCCTAGGCTCACGTTCAAACAAGCTGTTTCCTTTAGAATTTTCCCATTTTTCTTCCAAATGATGTTGTGATACTGACAGATGTAAAACACGACATGAGAAGATGTGCGAACACTTTGAGCGGAGATGATGCATGCTGCCACAGCTGCAGCTGTGAATAGAGCCTGCAATCATCCTGTCAGTCAGATCTAATGAACAGAGGGAAAACTTTGTCTGCATTGTACTGGGCTTTTTTTTTTCCTGAAAATTAAACATTTTTCAGATCATCCTCTGAGATTCTGAAAAGCCTTAGAATAAAAAAAGACTGTCATATTTTTGCATCTTTCTAACATACAACAACATCATGCAATGGATTTGAATGGAATGTAGTTATCCCCCAGTTCAGTCTTTAAGCTTAATATCTGAAGAATGAAATCCCTCAAAACCATCAATCTGTCAGATGACTAATGCGGTTTCTAACTTCTTTTTCATTGCTTCCAACTTCTTGATGATTATGAATATAATTTTCTATCCCGCTCTTATGTTTATTGCAGTTGCTCTGAATGAGAGGGACATTTTAATGACTAAACTATTAATCAGTTTCCTATTAGACCCTCAGGGAAGTGTGAAGTGGCCAGCAGAGGGAGCTGATATCCAAGAATTATAATACCTCAAATTCAGTCCCTGTTGGTTTGCTTTCCTGCACATTACGTTTCTACAAAGTAATAAAACTGTTCTCCTTGAGCTTTGCACTCCATTTTTTTTTTTACATTTCAGTCAGTCTGCAAACAAAACTGCATTCAGCAATTACCTCAACATCAATAGCATCCCTGTTCTGTTCGTCAGTGTTCAGTATCGACCAATGTGCTCGACAATAAGAGGTGAACAGTGGGAGGGCCATTCAGGACACATCTGAGGCGCACATCAGGACAGAGGAGAGGTGAAAATGAACTGAGACACGGGTGAATAAAACATGTCTCTGAGGATGTTGCCTTGTTTTACCGCTCTCTGGGCTCAGAGAGAACTGTGAGCCTCCCTGATGGTTAATCCTCTTTGTAATGAGAGGGCAAACACATTCAGCCTCACAGGTAGGCACACACACAGACACAGACACACACACAGACACACACAGACACACACACACACACACACACACACACACACACACACACACACAGACACACACAGACACACACACACACACACACACACACACACACACACAAAAATGGTCACAATGTTGCACAGCTGCATCCTTAATCCAGTCTCTTTTGCTATGTGCATACAGTAGATGAGTAAAACACAGACAGTACCGTTCTTTATGCAGTGCCATCACCCAATGATCAAATTATTGAAGGTTTGAACCAATCTTAGTCTCTGAGTTTAATCCTAAAGCAAAAAAAGTCTAAGCATGTACAGTACTTCAACAATTCATCATTTCGTATATACATTTTTTTTTCCTTTGCAAAAAATTCTTTTGACCTTGTGAAGTAGCACACAAGCTATTAAGACCAATTGAGACGATGTTGTCTCGCTCCAGTCCAGCCTGTGTAACAAGTAATATGATCCTGACTCCATGCTCTACTCTACCTTATCATCAAACTCTGCAGAAATTGATTAGATGGCTCCCTAAGCTTCATAATGTTATTTACTCTATTGGATAACCGTGTGGGAAAACAGTTGTGCGGTCCGGTGCAGAAGCGGTAAGTGCATTCAGCACAATTTCTGCTATCATAATCAAAAGTGGAAAGTTGTGTCTAGTCTACACACCAGAGTGAAGTGCTCTGCTGACATCAAGATATATTGTAAATTGACCGTGTACATGTCTGTTTTAAGACAGTCTAGACCGGGGGTAGGCAACCTGCGACCCTTTAGCCCCTCTCCAGTGGCTCCCTGTGGCTTTGACAAAAAATTATATGGGAATGAATAACTATTTATTAATGTTTTCATATATCGCTGTTGTAGGCCTAAAGCATCTTACATTTAAAATAATGCGATGCGCTTGATCTGCGGCTAAAATATGTGCTGCACAAAGATTTAAAAACATGTTTTGGCTTTAAATTGTAAAAAGGTAGCTGACCCCTGGTGTACCAAAAAATTTAAAACCTTTCTGTGATAACTCATTTTGAAAGATTTTCACTGTAACACCAGAATCACATTGGCCAGAGTTGGTGAGCAGAGTTTTGAGGTTTTAAAATATACCTCCAGAATATTTTTAGGACAACTAGGAATTCTGCCTTTGCACCAAGTAAGTTTGATTATTCAAGGCCAATGAAAAGTCTGTAAATTATCAAAATCTTTGTTAGCTTAAGTGAAAATAAGCAGACTGATACAGCACTATTTTATAACAGGAAGTAACATGTGGGATTTCATTTGAAGTGAACAACAATAAATGTCACAAAACGTCACCGTATCTGCATTCAGAGTCCAGTTCCTCTGTTGAGCTATGCAAAGGAAACATCTGTGCTTTCAGTAATTTCTGCATCATGTCATGTCTGCTCGTAACACAAATCTTCTTCACAGACAGGATGAATTAATCTATCGAAGCTTCATTTTTCTCATTCTGACAAAGAAAATAGTTACAGGAGCACTTTACTAAATAAAAGTATAATGGTAAAACTATGAACCAATACAACAAGATATTTTTTTATATATACTTATAACTTAAATGGAGCTCTCATATCATTTTGCATTGCAACATAACATAAAATTATAGTGTATAACAAAATGCATTGTGTTTGCCTCTAGCCCATGAACTATTCAGTTGTGATTGGACCCTTTAAACCATTAAAGTTCGAAATCCTGCATATAAGAAATGTAACCAAATCACTACGGTTCAACATATAAACACTATTCCTAACCAAATAAATTCTCATGCTTGTGTATGTGTGTTTATATATAAAGATAAACTTTATTTATTCTGGTGTTTATCCTCCATCTGTCTCTTCATCCATGTATCCAATGCTTCCTCTGTCTCACTTATATTATCCCAGTTCTCCATCTCATCAATCTGGCTTTATACACCGCACCTGAGGGAATGCAGAGACGCTTTGCCATTGGCTAGTAAAAGACAATGAGACAACATTTAAACTTGTCCACAAAATTGTGCCTCAAATTAAAAGGAATGAGTTTGTAACATCTTGAAGACAAGCCATGAAGCACTCTCTAAACAAAAATTGATGAATTCGATTATAATCTCCTCAGTGTTTTGGTTCCTTCTCTCT